TTACATTCAGTTTTTTCTCCAGTCAGGATACAAATTCTTTGAATTTTATACCTTCATCACTCAGTGTATGTTTTCTTGTTTTGTTTTGTTTTTAAAGAAAGCATCTTTCTTTACTAGTTATACATAGAATTCAACACATTTTTATTTTGAACAGGTTTAGGTCTGTAAATCTCCAATCCTGTTTTACTGAACATCTTAAACCTTTTTTCTATACTGAATATATTTAAGATGAGAGAGTATTTGAAGAATACACAGAATCTTCTGTACTTGGCATATTTTGCAATTCTGAAATACAAAAGATAAATAGGAAATTTGGTAGCGTGTGTTGGTCTTAAAAACTCCTTGAATGTAGTGTTAGGAAGGAAGGTAGAAAAACACATCCAATTCCATGGAAGCCATTGACTGTCATGTTTCAGCACTATAAGCCATCGTCATTGATACCGTTTAATATCAGTAGTTTAAATATAATCCTATATGACATTTCATAGATTACTTTTTATAAAAGCATTTCCTGCTATTATTAGGAGAAAAAGTAAGCAGAAATGGTTTTCTGGAAGGAAAAAGACATAATCTTGGGGAAAATGGGTAATTTTTTTCTGAATTTGCTAAATTGTTTCTGCATTAAATAATCCATACCTGTTCCACATTATTTATCCACAAGCAAGTCTTTGGAAGAACAAAGATACTTCTAAAAGATAAAATAGGAAACTTTAAGGGTATTGCAGCAGGCAGCGATCAGATGGCTTCCAGTATTCCTGCTCCCTGTTGGATATGCCCTGAATAATCCTCAACCCCTGAGTATAGACTGTGATTATAGTATAGTACTGAAGATTCTATATTAACAGAATGGAGTGTCATTACTCTGTTGCCCAGGCTGGAGTGCAATGGTACGATCTTGGCTCACTGCAACCTCTGCCTCCTGGGTTCAAGTGATTCTGCTGACTCAGCCTCCCAAGTAGCTGGGATTACAGGTGCCCAACACCACACCTGGCTAATTTTTGTATTTTTATTAGAAACAGGGTTTCATCATGTTGTCCAGGATGGTTTTGAACTCCTGACCTCCCAAAGTGCTGGTATTACAGTCATAAGCCACCATACCTGGCCCACTCTGCTGGTTTTGAAAAGGTCAGCTGCCATGTTGTAAGAGATCTGTATGGCAAAAACCTGAGGTAGTCTTTAGGAGCTGAGAGTGGTCCCTGACAGACAGCCTACAAGAAAATGGGGACCTCAGCCCTGCACTCATAAAATAATGAATCCTGCTAACAAGCTGAATGAGCTTTGAAGAGGACTCTGAGTCTCATGTGAGATTGCAGCCCTGGGTAACACCTTCATTTAAGCCCCATGAAACCATCAGCAGAGGTCCCAGCTAGCCAGTACTTCACCTTTGGTTCATGGAAGCTGTCAGATCAGATAATAAATATATGTTAGTTAAAGTTGCTAAGCTTGTGACACTATTTTACACAGCAATAGAAAACCAATACAGGTGGTTTCCATAAAGTTTGCTCATAAATTCTGGGGTTTAAACCATCACTCAGAGATATTATTTGTGGGATTCAGCCAATAAAACTATCCAACAGTTTCAGAAAACAAACGATTACATGCCAAGTTCTATTCACGAATAGTGAAAACTGTACAAAGTAGGGCTTATTCCTACAAATGACAGTCATAATTCTGGGTGTCACTAACTAACGTTCACCTGTATTATTATTATCCCTCCCTCCCTCCCTCACCCCTTCCTTCTTTCCTCCTTCCTTCCCTCCCTCCCTCCTACCTTTCAGATTTGCTCAAATGCTCACTTTCTCTTTCTCTTTCTTTCTTTTCTCTTTCCTCCTCAATTGTTTGTTATAATGCTAATGTGTTGGGGGCTGTTGGCTATTGTATGAATTCATTGTCAGCATTAACATCTTTGACACCTTCAATCATCTATATGAACTTTGAAGGAATGGGACTTAGAGTGTGATAGGTATGCATATAGGGAGTAAAGACATAAAGCAACAGGAATTTTAATAGGAACTGGACATCTAATGGCATATGAAAGTAAGATGAACTGAATGTCAAGGCAAGTTAGTAAGACAATAGGATAGATTGCAAACAATGAAACAAGATAAAAAATGTCATATTGAGACTGGGTTCTGGGATGCGGGAGAGGCTCATCTCCCTGATAGGATGTGTTCTTCCAGGTTCTTGGTCCCTCACTCACCCAAGAATGGGGGAGAGGACCCTGCTGGGCACGGTGGCTCGTTTAAATAAATATTGGACCCCAAAGAATTTTTGCAGAAAGTGATTTATTTAGGCAGAGAGAGAAAAAGGAGAAAGAAATAAAGCAGCTCCCAGATGTCTTGGAAGGGGATCCAGAAACGGAGTCCTCACCAATGTGGGAGAAGAGGACTTTTAACCTGGGTGTTATTTCCACCCCATTTAAGTTTTTGGTCCTATGAAAGGAGTTCCTTTAAACTTCCGCTGGAGTGATTGATCTTTGATTTTTTCCCCCCACCTGTAAAAGCCAAAGGCTTCTAGTCTCCTGGATGGAGCGAGCCAAGGTGGGAGGTATGGCACTGGGAAGTTCTTGCCTTTGAATCTACGCCCCCTTGTGGACCAGGAAGAGAATACATTTCCTCAATATGTTTAATGCTGTGTTTAGGGGTAGCATTAACTTTGTAGGATATTTTTATCTGGTTCTTTACCATATGCCCAGTGTCTAGAATCATCTCTGGGATCTATAATAGTATGATATATTGCTTATATAATATTATATATATACTTATGTAATACTTATATTATCATATATAAAATTTATGTCTAAGATCTGATATATATATCTGACATATTATATATATAATTATTTATATCATATATGATATTTATAACATTTATTGAAACAATGAATGTTACATTAAAGAACCTTGATGTTTATATAGCTTCTGAACTTTTGATTCTAACTTTTAGGGTGGGAAGTGCACAGATTTTGGAGGTAGAGAGATTTGGCATATTTGTTTAATGAGTTTAATATTTACCAGACACATTTAAAATAAAGGGACATAAGATAATAGTATGAGGATTCAAATGCGTACACATGCATTTAGAAAGGATTTTAACATTGCCTGGTCCCTGAGGGATACTAAGTTATTATAAAACAGAATAATATTGGATATTTGTTGGCTAGTACAGCCTAAAGGGGACACTTAAGTGAAATGCAAGTTACTAAAGGTAAGCTTTTGATTTGTTAATTTGTTTTTGTTTTTGAAAAATACTTTCAAATTTAATAAAGAAATAGCAATAACTGGTACATACGTTAATTCAAAATATTTTCACTAAGTACCAAGTAGAATCATTCCCAATCTCTTCACAGAGAATCACTTTGAAAGAAGGCACATAAAAAGATGAAAAGTTATCCCAACATTTAAAAACAAGCAACAAAAATCTTACGAGTTTATAATGAAATCTAAAGTTGTCAATCAGAGTTTCTACTTACTATGAAATGACAAGGTTGAAAATCTTGAGGTCACGTAGTATGAGGTTTCAAAAGCTTTGTTGAATGTATGTATTCCAAATGAGGGCATTTCTTGGTGCCAGGCTGGCAACCACAAGTCCCTGTGCCAGATACCATACACATGCAATCAAAACTGAGTAAGTATCACATGTAAAAGATAAAGAATATATGGTCCCTGCATATTTAAGGAGAACAATGTCTAATTCCCATGGGTGTAAAATTAGTAAGACGCAGAGAGACAGATCCAATTTACCAACCAAAAGGAAAAACCAAGCACAGGCAGTAGACGAGATAAAAGTCCTGTGCCCTGGGGATGCAGCAGAAAGGGCTCTGGGAGGTTTCAGAAACCAGGCAGCATCCAGGTCTGATAAAAACATGAGTGGCTATCAATGCTTGTGGAAAGGTGTCCTCGAGGCTGAAGAAAACAAAATGAGCAAAGACATGGCAGTACAGGAGTAATACCTGTTCAGAAGACCATAAAGCATTTATTATGGGTAAAGGGATGTGATCTAATAAGAGACATAAAACTCAGGAAAACCCGACCCAACAAGAGCCAAACACAGTGCTGTTCTGTATTTCTTAACAGCCATTTGAGAGATAGTCTGAGGTGGCCTGCAAAACTAATAAGACAGCAAAATATCTTCCCAAAGGCAGAGGTGCCACACGCTCCTGGTGGAGGCTCAGTAGCCAAAGGTCACCCTGCAGTCCCTCCTCACTCTCACTGCAACACCCCAGTCCCTTGGAATCAAATCCACTAGCAATAATCTTCTTAATGGAAAATGTTTTCCCTCCCCAAATGTAAAACAAAAACAATGTAAATGAACAAAACCTCAATCCAAAGAGACAATCAGAGCAAGCTTTAGCCCCTCATAGCTCACCTTTGCCCCAGCTGTCATGCTACTGAGGACAAGATCTGCTCCATTACTTACACTGACTCAGAAAGTAACAAAATTTAGCTGCTTTTATTACATCCCACCCCATCAAAAATAAACACCACACAAAATATAATTTTACCGCAAATAAAAGTCAGCTACACTTACTCAGGATATTTCAATCCTTTTCCAACCTGTTCACCAAAAAAAAAAAAAAAAAAAAAAATCATTATTCTGAGATCTCTGGAAGCATTGCAAATATTGCTCCATGAGATTCCTCTTCTTGAAGCAATTAGGTCTTGAAACAGAAAATTTACATATTTTTCTACACTACCACTGAAAGTCACTATTATTAAAGGCCTGCAACCAAAATCCTCATCCCCTGATTCTCAGGCTATTATAATTTTTTCCCTTAGATCAAACAAACAGTGAGAAATACACATAAAAAGATGAAAAGTTATCCCAAAATTTAAAAAAAACAAGCACCAAAAACCCATGAAGTAGAATCTGTGTCATCACATTAACAGTTTAAACTTTGCTAAAGACCAAAAATATCTTTATTTGATCTACTTAAGCTATAGGCATTTTATAATGTGCTCAAGAAATTAACAGTTTATAAAAATAATGAAAAAGGACCCGGCGAGAGGCAGGGGCAGGAGCGGCGGTGATGGACGGGTCCGGGGAGCACCCCAGAGGCGAGGGGCCCACCAGCTCTGAGCAGATCATGAAGACAGGGGCCCTTTTGATTCAGGGAATGATTGCCACTGTGGACACAAACTCCCCCCGAGAGGTCTTTCTTCGAGTGGAAGCTGACATGTTCTCTGACGGCAACTTCAACTGGGGCCGGGTTGTCGCCTTTTTCTACTTTGCCAGCAAACTGGTGCTCAAGGCCCTGTGTGCCAAGGTGCCCGAGCTGATCAGAACCATCATGGGCTGGACTTTGGACTTCCTCCGGGAGCGGCTGTTGGGCTGGATCCAAGACCAGGGTGGTTGGGATAGCCTCCTCTCCTACTTTGGGACATCCATGTGGCAGACAGGGACCATCTTTGTGGCTGGAGTGCTCACCGCCTCACTTACCATCTGGAAGAACATGGGCTGAGGCCCCCAGCTGCCTTGGACTGTTTTTCCTCCATAAATTATGGCATTTTTCGGGGAGGGGTGGGGATTGGGAGACGTGGGCATTTTTCTTACTTTTGTAATTACTGGGGAGGATGGGGAGGAGTGGTCTGGAGGGGGTAATAAACCTCCTTTGGGACACACACACACACACACAAATAATGAAAAAAAATTTCGGTGGGGGCATTAAACTAAAATCATCTCATACTCTGGCAAAGAGCTCTTCCAAAATGTTAAACACAAGGGATGTATGGCAAATCGCCTGCATAGGGCTGCCTCACATACTAACCCACATGCAGATGGCCAGCCTTTGCCCTTCTGCTCCAGTAAGCTTCAGAGATTCTGGGATATTGGCAGACACCTGCTCAAGGTAGGCCAAAGAGCCTGAGGGATGTCGGGTGGCTTTTGTGCTACACCTTGATGTCCTGCAGCATCTGCCGCCAGTGCCTCAGTTTTGTCAACTACTTCTCGACCAGCATATCTTTTCCCTGTAATTCATTCCTTAATTCCGAGACATCCTCTTTGATAACCTGCTCTGGTTTCTGGACAGATAATTGCAATTTTTTTTCTGTACGAAATACTTTCTGTCTGTATTGCGATATGCAGAAACTTCTGAATCCCCTGATCAACAGCAGTTTAATTCTTCCTGATTGGTGCCATTGACATAGTCCTAACTCACCAGAGAAGCGAAGCCAGCCTCAAAAGATGAATCTGGGTGCCCTGGCAGGGGCGACAGGGCCCCGTTGACTGCCCAGAGAACATACTGCCTAGCGAAGCAGTTATGTCTGAAATCTAAACTTCTTATTTTATAATTTATCCAGTCGTTGGCCTGATTTATTCCACCATGAGGATGACCTTAGTATCAGATCATAGGAAAAATGCTATCACAGAAATTATATAATAAACAGTATGCTGATTTGAGGAGGAATGACGGATATTACATTTGACGAAGTTGCTTAATATATTACCCAAACTAATTAGCATCAGCTGGAAGCAAACAGCATTTCAAACTGTGTGTTAAATACTAGAAACTGACAATGACCAGGAGTTACTGACTCATGGGCTTGTTATAATGACAAAAATGTAGTAACTGGAGGAAAGCTCTCGCTTTGCTGCTTTGGCTGCTTCCTGGTGATCCTGAAGCTATGGTTTTTGGTTTCCTGGGGAAAGAGGAAGTCAGCCTATTACTATATCATATTCAAATTACCACTCAAAGTGAGAAGTTAATGAAAGATTTTTGTCTTTTTTTGACATTAATATAAATGTAGCCATTACAATAAGTTTCTGATCGTGAATGCAGTACATACACTAAAATGTGCCATTTGTGTTGCAACAAGACCACCTCAATAGTGCTTGTCTCCATACGAATCACTGTCAGTGATAAATATTTGATAGTCTTAAAAAAGTAAATAGTAAGTATCATGCATCTTACTGTGTAAATGGAACATAATGTGTAAGGTACTATGCTAGATACTTTGAATAAAATGACGAGCAAGCTTACATGCTTTTCTGCTATGGGGGACATTACCTTCTACTAAGAGAGACAGAAAAATAAACAAATGATAGCAAAAACAAGGGCAATTGATAAGAGAAATATGTGGAGTTGCACAGAAAGGGTACCCAAGAAAGTTTAAGGGATACTCAGAGAACTCTACCTGGATGAAGGGGTATATAAGTCATTGTGAAGGAGCTAGTGAGAGTTAGTCAAGCTTTGGGGGTAGAAGGTTGGTAGAGGTTCTAGCACAGTCAGCTAACAAACTTTATGACACTTTAAATATAATGAGCTACACTTGAAAAAATATTAAAATGGTTACTAATGCAAAAAAGTAAAATTAATGAAATGCAGCTGAAAAGTCCAAGTGTAATAATCAATGTAATTTAAAAGTGTTACTCAGTATAACAACGTACCTTTAGAAATGGCATCTGTTTTCTTTATTTAATAATTTTGTCTTGCAAAAAAGTGTATTCAGTTTTTATTAAAGTATACAAATTGACAAATCAAAAATGTAGAAAATTTATTCCAAAAATTAAACATATAGGTCAGAAAAGAACTCATGCAATGGCCCTCTATAGATCTACTTAATAAATTATCTAATCATAATTATGACAAAAATTGATCAATAAAATGCCATAGTAAACTTCATACTGTATTATTTCTGAAGGCACAGAAATAGGTGATGCCTTTTTGGTAGTTTTTACTCTAAAAGAAATAGAACAAAATTGTCATGTATAGATGATAGACATACCAGATCACTAGAAATACTTATATACACCTCATGTTACAGCCTTGTCAGTTTATTATATTTAATTCAATTGACTAATACAAACCCTCTCATAATAGACTTGGCAATTTAGACTGGCCTTGAAGACTTGAAAGCACTTTTACAAAGAATGATAAGGGCAAAGCATTCCAGAAAAAGTTTTACCTATTCGCCTTGATATTCTTAGTGATAAGAAAAGGATATATTGAAGCTGAATATACAGTAATTATGATTTTATTTTAAAAACTCACTTCTATTTAGCATGTCATGAAATAGTTCTACAAACCCCACTTTATTTGATACCTAATACCTTTAGTTATTTCTGCTTATCCTCTTTCACTAGTCTACATAATCATAGTATTAATGTACCTATTATTTGTTAAGGAGTTACTTATTTTGAGCATTTAAATATATAGAACTTTTAATGCTTATAACCACCTATGTAGCAGGTATTATCATTTTCTTTTGGCACATTATGGAGATAATATATGACACTCCTATTTTATATGTCAGAGCTGAGAATCCATTGAGATGTAGACACTGGTGAGATAGTTGGAGATATCATATTTAACCACTGATGAGAATTTGTAGGTAATGTACTTTGTATACATTGGTAAAGGTCTGATTATCACTTGACCCTGGATTAGGCACCCCAGGATTAATCATCCAGCTAGTAACAAAGCTTCCTGCTTCCCCAGGTACCATTTTACAGATAGCACCATGCATGCTCTCAGAACCCCACCAGAGACCCATGGGAATATAGAAGGATGTGAGCCATGTGTGCTCATTTATGGCTTTCAACTTCAGTAAAACTTGAATTCTAGGAGGTCAAAAAGGGACCAAGAAACTTACCAAATGGAACTTCTTTTTCATGGAAACATGAGGTTTGGGGTAGAAAAAAGGTGTCTGTGGTATTCAAAGTATGACTCTCCAAAGATGACCACATTCTATCCCCCAGAGCTTATGAATGTATTATGTTACAGGGAAAGGAGGAATTAAGGTAAAGATGAAATTAAATTTGCTTATCAGGGGACTGTGGAATGGAAAGATTACCCTAGATTATCTGGGATGCTCCAGTGTAATCACAGGGATCCTTATAAGTGAGAGAAGTAGGAGAGTTAGCTCAGAGTGATACAATGTGAGAAAGCCTAGAGAGAACATTGCTGGCCTTGAGGATGGAACGGGGACCTAGCCAAGGACCGTGGCAGCCTCTAGACACTGGAAAAACTAAGAAAGTAAATTTTCCTCTGGGTGCTTCAAAAGGGAATGCAGCCAGTGGATGCCTTGATTTTAGCCCAGTGAGGCCCATTTCAGACTTTTGTCAACCAGAACTGTATGATAATAAATGGGTTTTGTGTGAATCTGCTAAATTTGTCGTAATTTGTTCATAGCAGCAATTAAGTACCCATCAAGTTTTAGTGCAATAACAGAACCTTCTGTTTTTAAGCAGGTAGAAATTTAATACAAGATTTAGGTAATTAGAGAACTGTTGTAAGGTTGTGAAGAATGGAATAAAGTGATATAATTGGACTTTGTATTGTCCAGGCTGGTCTCAAACTGCTGAGCTCAAGGGATCCTCCCACCTCAGCTTCCTGAGTAGCTAGGACTGCAGGTATCTGCCACCCTGGCTGATTATATATATCTATATATAGATAGATATAGATAGATATAGATACAGATATATATAATCTCTCTCTATATATATTGCATTATATATATGTATATATACGTATATATATACACATATATGTGTATATATATACGTATATATACATATATATATATATATAGAGAGAGAGAGAGAGGGAGAGAGAGAGAGATATGAGGGTCTTGCTATGTTGCCGAGGCCGATCTCAAACTCCTGGCCTCAAGTGATACTCCTGGCTTAGCTTCCTGAGTAGTTGTGATTACAGACACAAGCCCTCATGCTTGCTATCCTTAGACTCTGATTTAAAATCACATACTGTCAACTCCCACCATGACTAACACCCCTTCCCTCCAGTACTGAGGAAGCTGGTGAGTAATAGTTGTGTACTATTAAGTCAATTGTTTTTACCTTAGTTGGTTACTTCAACATCCCCAGACCACCGTCCAACCTTAAGATAGCACCCTGAGTTTTTGTGATGTTCATCTCCCATTGTCCAGCACACACACACACACACACACACACACACACAGGCATACACACACCCACACCTCTATATGTATGTATAGGCCTTTACAACATTTCTGCTTACCAAATTCAGTCAGCACAATGTTATCTATGCAGTGGACCCATCTAATATCTTATAGAGTAGTAAGATAATCAAGATTCTTAGAGCCAGTTTATGCAGAGAGCCAGAGGTGAACTAGCAAAGTGTACTTCTGACCTGAAGGTAAACTGCATCTGCTTATTAAGACAGGGAAAGAAAAAGAATTTGCGCTTTCAAAACTGCTGATCAGTTATCAGCAGAATGTTGATTTGCTGGAATAAAGCTGTCACAGGAGGAACAGCAGTCCAATTGCATTTAATTCCCTGATCAAGTTTAAAATAATTCACTCTCCTTATCCAAGACCAATCCATCTTCTCTTCGCAACAGCAATCTATCTTCTGCTACTTAAATTGAGACATGAGAGAAATCACCACCTGGGCATCTTTCAAGACTTACGGTGGCACTAGTATTTGTGGTTCACCAGGGATGCAAGATTGAATTTCGTTTATCATTTTGGTGGAGTGGGGACATTCAAGGACTTTCACCTAGGTCTTATCAGCAAAATAGTCCTCATTCTACAAGTGAGGAAATCAGTGTGGGAATTGTTTAGCTGTCAATTATGTTATTATGTAAACCAGTTCCAATTATGCAATCAAAAATGATAGAAATAAACAGAGAGTTGTTTTA